AAACAAAGAAAACGAAAATCAATTATTGAATGAACTTACTGTCATATTATAAACAGGCCATAAACGTTCATAACTATGTTCATGTGCCCAAAGTTCTAGATCAACACCATATTGAGCAAATAATGTTTCAAGACCATATGCTTGAATAAATGGAAGACCAGTACGTATCTAAACAAAATAAAATAGATAAAATTTAAAAACAAAAAAAGTATTTTCTTACAAAAATATAACCATCAGTCTTAAGACATTCATCGTCATTATTATTACTACAATACATTGGTTTATGTCCCATAGTAATAATCCATGGTTGACGTGCACGATTTTCAGGTTTATTTGCTTCCTAAATAATGAAAAAAAAACACAACAATAATGCTATATTTAATTTTCTATTTACTATTAAATCTTGCTCAAGCCACTGATATTGATTAATAATTTGTTCAAAACCATATTCAACATAATAATAAAATTCTGTTGAAAATCCAATAATATGTGCAGAACCAACATTAAAACTAATTTATAAATAATCATATTCAAGCATAAAAACAAACTTAAACTAACCTATAAAAATGATTTGCATCACCACCATACGTATTCATTGATGATGGCATACTAAATTTTGCAGCATACTGTGAAAAATTACTAAAGAAACAAAATAAAAATCTTAATTAAATAAAATAATTCATTTTTTACTAAGCATATTCATGATTTCCAGGACAAGTCATATATGGTATATAAGCAGCAATAGATTCAATAGCATTCATATACTCATCACCATAACGTGCATTATCTAAATTCATATCATAAGCCATATCACCTAAAATTCAAGATCAAAAAAAAATATTTATCAAATAAATTTAGAACAACTTACCAACATGTAAAATAAGATCAAAATGACCTAATTGAGTTTCTTCTTGTAGACGTCCCATTGATTGAGCATTATCTTTTCCCATATCACCATAAACAGCCATACGAGCAACAAAATTCGAATCATTACGCATTGCTGTAAACCAAAATAGAGGTGACCAACCATATTCATCACTACCACAATGATAAACTAATTTATAAACAATGAAATTAATTAAAGTTATATTCTAGTTTATTTTTTTATATCGTACAATATCGTTGACCCGGTTCAAGATCTTGTAAAACAACACGATGAATATATTCACGTCGTTGTTCAGTTCCACTATCTTGAAATATACTAACAGAACCTGTAGCTCGTTGATTGAATATATCATCTTGTCCATATTCAACAACAGAATCATTGACTTCATTTAATGTTACCCATGTAACTATCATAAGTGATGGATCACCTGAAACGATAAACATAAATAAAAAATAGATAGACAATACAATATTATTAATTTAGAAAAATTTATCATACGTCCATAAGATAAATGAATTTGTTCTGGTTGACCAAATACTGGATCATTGAAAAATATTGATCGAGATGAAACAAAAGTAAAAATGGTAAATAATAAAATACCATTCAGGACAACCATGGTTTATTCAAATTTTTCGTTTTCTAAGTATATGATTACGTGAAGAAAATAAACAGTTGGATAATGCAAAAGGTAAAAGTGGGACTCTACTATATTTGAAATTTAAAATGGTAATAAAACTTATTGTATTTTGTAATAGAAATATATGTTTTACATATTTAAATAAATTTAAATAGTTTAAACCGAAAATTTTATCTAACGGCATCAGGAACAAAGATCGTAATCTGGCGCCCTCTGTTTCATAAATTGACAAACTAAATAAATAGATCTTCGTTAAACTGTTAATTAATTTCAGGATAATCTATAAATGATTTGTAATGTATTGTACATACTAAACTTAAGAAGAAACTTCTCCGAGTGTCAAATACTCCTTTTGCGACCGAGACGATATTCATTTGATGAGTAATAGAAAAGTCTAGAATGGTTTGCTTTTTCAGACTTTCGTTCGTGAGATATCGACATTTTACTGAATTTTTCAACAAAAACCTGTAGTCCCTCTCAGGTGACGTTGAAAATTGACTTTCAACTTCAAACTTTGCACGAACTAAGTTCTCAATAAGATTAGTTTATTGTGCAAGTTGTAACTTTTGCCGTATTTCCCATCCTGAGATATTCAATCCCTCCCTAGAGAATGTACTGACTTAAGGGTACCCGAAAAAGTACCCTGTTATCAGTATGTCACAGAAACTTTTGGGTACCAAAGTACTTGGAAGTACTTTCAGATACCTAAGTGGTACTTTAACAAGTACCCTGCTACAAATGTGTAGTAACTGGGTACTTGAAGGTACTGATCAGATACTCAAGTGGGTACTATTGTATAGTATTTCAAGGTACCCCGTTACAAAAATTCCAATATGTTCAGGATCGAACCAGCCCTTTAACTTTTTTTAATTTTGGTTTCTCACAAAACGATTTACTACAATTTTTTTTCGATTTTATTCAATTTAATTTTTTCAATTCCGAAAACTTAGCAGGTACAATGCCGGGATCTGATCCGACTTGAGCTGGTCAGGTATCCATCAGATCACTTCGGAGTAGTCCGCTCTGAATCTACGATCAAGATCGGCATGTTCTCGACTAAGAAATAGTCAAGAAATAATCTAGAAAAAATTAGTATGAAAATAGATTAATTTCTTATGTCTCACCCAGTTGTTTATATGGAGCCGTGCATGAAGAAGAAAACGGTGAATGAATAGTCGCCACGCAGAACGCGACAAATATAGGGTGCCCTATATAGCTTGCCTCAGTAAAATTACAGATGCGAGTACCCATACAAGTACTTGTTAAGTGAGCATACTTTTATGAGAACCACACGCAGTACCTACATCAGTATAATTGCTGAAAATTTTTGAAGTACCCATATTGGGTACCCTGCTAGGCCTTTCTCAGTACATGGGTACCCTGAACTCAGTACTTTCTCTAGGGTATTCGAAATTTTCTCATGTGTAAAAGTAAATTTTGTTCATACATTCACATCTTCAGAAAGGAAATACAAGAAATGCTAAAACTTACGCAATCAACTAATCTCATTCAGAACTTTGTTCGTGTAATATTGAAAATTGAAAATCGATTTTCCACATGATCTAAGGTGACTACAGCTTTTTGTTGAAAAACTCAGTGTAAATTTCGATACCCAAAGAATGCAGGCCCGGAAAACCAAACCATTGTAGACTTTTCTATCACTCACTAGCATTCATCAAATGAACATTGTCTCGTTCGAAAAACGATTCGACGCCTGTAGAGTTTCCTTCGTTAGTAGCATAACCAGAAAGAAGTTGTAGAGGTTCTCAATTCTCAAGTCATGTTTGTAGAGGTGTTAGAAATCTTGTTTAAATGAAACTCAACTGTTGATGGAGAAAGAAGTGGCTGAGACTTCTCTCTAGCCACCATCTGGTTACGACCATTAATTAAACTGTTAATCTATTGTCTCTCTCTGTGTATCAAAGCATACATCATACGTTACAAAATTGATTAAGAATGAATCTATATATAAAATGAACATTAATTCTAGAAGTGCAGTGAACAGCTAGAATGTAAAATTTTCCCTGCTATCAAAATAAAAGAAAAGTGATATTCTCTTGTTCATTCACGCATTCGAAAAAAGCGAAAGACAAATAGATTTACTTAATATACAAAAAGGCCATATAGAAAACTAATCTTTATTATTCTATCAATTACTAGAAGCAGTTTTAATTCCATAAAATAATACATTATATGATTAAATGAAAGAAGAAGCCGTTTCGCTACTTTCCTATCAATAATAGAAAAAATCACAGAAGCTGTATTTTTAGTTTGTATTCTTATGACTACAAGAGAAACATTTCTTTATTCAAATTTCCAAATGAAACATTTTCTCCAATACATGTTGACACACACAAGTAGATTCTGTACGTTTGATTGATTCATCGACTTTTTTCATCGGTTATCTAGATTATTTATTTGACATTGGTTTTCTTCAACTCATTTTTTTCCTCTCGTCGATAAATATTGCTTGTTCAATGTCAATTAAAGAAAAACAAACATAACAATCAATTATTGCAATTTGAAGATATTCATCTTATTTGACATTTTGTTACTTACGTGAAGAACATGAATAACAGATTGTTATCGAGCAATAAATTTTCATTGTATATCAATCATGTGAAGCTCAAGTTTATTTTATGTACGATTGAACATACATAGTTTATCTTATACAGATGTCACCAAGTGACAATAAATTGAACTGTTCATAATAACGGCAAAACATATTATAAATTACAAAACAAATTTATTCCAAATTCATTCATATCGATTTTTAAATGAATTAATATATATAGATCTGCATTAATATTTTAATTTTAAGATAATCATCGAAATTTAATTTAAATCTCAATCATATTCTAATTTTCTTTCGAAATTTTGAATTTTTTCGTTGTTTTAAATCAATTTTCTGTTCAATAATATGAATCATTGTTCAATTAGTTCCACAAAATATCAATTTTTGGATCTGTCAATATATGTCAATCAATCATACACCCCACCCTCGTTATTACTCATTTTACCACTTATCAGTTACAGTTTTCTAAATACACGAAACAATCCTTTTTCGAAGCTAGGCGACAATATATAAAACAAAAAAATTTGTGTACTGAGGTCATATAAGATGATTACTAATATAAGATCGAAGGCTAGACGTGTTCATAGAAGGTTTATTCGTATTTTCTTCCATATATGAGCGACTCACTATTATAATTGGACGAGGAGCGTGATCGATCGTACCGGTCATCATCATAAAAAAAAATAAAAATAAGCCAGTGAATAATCTTTCTTTTTTCTTTTTAGTATTGAGATCCTTTTTTCTTTTGATGAGCCAAAATCATGACTGATTTTGCTAAAGTATTTAATATTTATTCCTCGGAATCAAATCAAGATCAACAAGAAGACAATCAAACATTTGGAGAAGTAAAAAGAGCTAATGCAAGTAAGTAAATTTTACAAAATAAAATTATGTATTTATAAAAATATTCATTTCTACTTAGGTATTAATCAAGATTTTTCAAAAAATTTTGTAAGAGTTACAATAAAAATTCCTAAAATGAAAACCAGTCTCAATTGGCGTAAATTAATACGTGAACCAAATAATGGGATAGTAACAGAAGCAACATATCATGGAAAGTATGTACATATGAATCATTTGCAATTTTATTTTAATGGTATTTTTTTTCTTAGTCGACTAAATTTTGAATTTATTCTTAATCGAGGTAAATCAAATGAAACGAAATATGAATTTTCAACTCGAGAACCACTTCACGGACCAATTGAGTATCATAAAAGTTATTTAAAAGTAAACTTTTCTATTTCCCAAAAAACACACGAAAATTAATTTTACTTTTTGTTTTTCTTTTTAGTATAAAGATGAATATGTTGTTTGGTTTATTCATAAATCTCAACCTTGGTAAACTAATTTTCCATGAGCATTCTATCATATATATGTGTGTGGGTGGTTTTTTTTTCTGTTTATCATACTTATACATATGTAGAAGTTTTCAGTCTTCTTTAAAAGTTTTTCTTTTATATGTTGTATTTGTTTTGTCAATTTATAATAATAATTATAATTATAATAAAAAAAAGATTTTTCTTTTTTTTTTTTGAAGTGATTTAGAAAACACACAAAACAAGTGCTATTCTCTCTTTTTTTTGGTATATGTTCTATGTACAAAATAGAAAAAAAGAATTTTTTTTTTTAATTATTAATTTGCTGTAGCAATAAGTTCACGAAGGACCGTTACAGGTGCTGATGGTGCTG